AAAGAAATGCACTGCATACCCAGCAGTGAAGCTTAATGTGGTTTTGTCGGGAGCAACATGGCTGGAACCTGATCCAATAGATCGTTGCTTCACTGATGGAAATTTGGTTACAGGAGCAGCGTGGCCAGGCCACCCGGAGTTCATTTCGCAACTGATGGCATTGCTTGATGTTCGAGTATCATTCTAGTTGCTGTTTACCTGGTCAGCCGCTTGTATGTGATATACCTAATTCATGGAAGATTAAGACATGGATGATATGCTGCCTTTTGTATCAATGAGGGACCAAGTAATAATCTGTTTTTGATCTGTATATGCCATGTTCCATGCAAGTAAGTTCTGTCTCGCCTGCGAATCCCTATTCTGATCCAAGATTGCATGCTATTCCTAACATAGGCAATGAATATCGTGACTATTGGGATAACATATTCATATGCCTATTACTTGTGCTTTTATATTGAAATTTTGATTTGTCAGCAGAGGCGATGAATATTGTGTATTGGGATAACATATTCATATGCCTATTACTTTTTATATTGAAATTTTGATTTATCACTCACCGAAGTGTCCTTTTCGTTTGTTGCTGCATCTAGAGTGTATTTTTCACATGATATTAGATTTTCATTTCTGTGAATTAACAATTTATTTATTAAAAAAAACATAGCAGTGAAGGGAAAAATAGAAGCAAGGGGCCTACTCATCACATCACTCCTTATCGTCTCAAATGTTTGATCTTCAGAGTTGAAGGCTTAACAACGCTATCTGATGTTCTGGTGACCATTTATATGTATATAAAAAGTCCAGAAATTGGTCTGTCCAGCACAAGTAATGGTCCAAGTCTCAAGTGGTATATCACATTCTAGGTTTATCCTGTGTTTTTTTTTATGACAGGACCCTTGCATTGCAACTCAATCAAACTAGAGACTTACCTCTCAATGCATTGAATTTTGATCCAAATCTAATTCGAATATGAAAATCAATTATTTAACAAATTCAATCCGATAATAATTCAGTTCCATTTAAAATAACATAAATTAATTTAGAATAAATTGCTGTACATGACCCCGAACTAGGATCCCAATCAAACTTAACCCTCCCGAACTAAAAAGTCAGCTAATTCAACTACCGAATTAATTAAATGGTAAATTTGGCCCTTGCTGTTAAGTTGTGTAAATTTCATCCAATTTTCTGTTAACTATAATGGTACATTTGTAATTTCGAGTAAAATAAATAATAAATAAATCAAACAAAAAGGAAATAAATAATAATTAATAAGAAAACTAGAATAACATTTAAAGAAATAAAAAAAGAAAAAACAGCCCCATCCAGCAAGAAGCCCGAACGATCAGCGTCAATGGAGGTGTGTCTCTGAGAGGGAGCTAGATTAAAGCTTTGTCTGTAACATATACTGTTAGGACCCAATCCCCATTTGGGCCTAATACTCTCTACAGCCCACATACGATCACCTCGATATCACTTTAGTATCGCCTAGCTATTATCACAATAACAACCTCGGCTCTCCGCATTTGTAGGAGTTTGTTAGAACCCTTGCCAGATCATAGCCAGTTGGCCATGATCAACAATTGTATAAACTCTCCTTCAGTCTTGCTGGAGGGGTATGAATGAATGAGTGCATTTCTTTCCCCTTTTCTCTTGTTTCTTGCAAATTTCTCTTTTCAGATTCAAGGTCCTAGCATTTGGTATTCAGAGCCTGGTTTCGAACCATGGGGAGGAAGGGACAGTCGACCGCCTCCATGGAGGTCGCTGCCATAGCCGAGGCCGAGCTTGACGCTCAACGCGAATTGTGGGACTCTCAACTCCAAGAGGTCCAAGCCGCTGTGACCGCAATCGCAGTACAACAAGCGGCGGTGCAAACAAATATGACAGAAGTACAACAAACTCTCGTGGCTCAACAAGATCAAAACACCGCGTTCCAAAAATCGATTTTGGAAGAAATTCGAGCTCTCAGCACTCGGAATCCACCGCAATCACCAAGCCATCAAGACCACCCGACTTCCACCGGACCATTGCTACAGCAACAGAGCTCTGTCGCGACGCCATCAACCACCACGATGGGGTTTCCAGGAGGTCCTCGGCTAAATATGACTTTCACGGCACCGAACCACCCGATATTTGGTGGTATCAGCTCCAATCTAGGATGGATGGGACCAACTCCTCAGATTCAACCTTCGATTGCTCCTTTGGGCTCGTCGCCGATAATACCGTCCTCACTACAACACCCTTTGACAGCACCTCAATACACTCAGCCGCCCTTACGGACCACGGTGTACCATACCACGACCGGAATGCAGGCCGCTTATTCGGGGCCACCTTTTTTCTCAGTTCCACCAGCCATGCCCACAGGACTACCTGCTCATCATTTACCAGCATCCTCGATGGTTCCGCCAAGACCGGGATTCTATCCTCCTCATCATTCGAACATGAAACCCATGAAATTGGATCTTCCTCGATTTTATGGCGAAGATCCCTACGGTTGGTTAGCAATGGCAGAACGATTTCTAGAATATCACGAGGTGGACGAACCCATGAAGGTCATGGTGGCGGCTATGCACTTGGGAGGTGACGCAGCACTTTGGATGAAATGGTATGAGGCTAGGTATTCTAAGGAGTCATGGACCATTTTTTCAGAAATGCTCTTACAACGTTTTGGGCCAGGTGAGGCTTTGAACTCTAATGTGGCCCTATCGCGTATTCGACAAGCGGGCTTAGTCGCGGAGTATGTGGCCCAATTTATCAAGCTGTCATGTCGGGCCGTGGGTTGGACTGATGAGTTACTCTTAGGGGTATTCCTAGGAGGTCTGAAGGAAGATATCCAAGATGATATCCTGGCGCTGGAGCCCAAAACGCTTGCACGAGCCATGGAATTAGCTCAGATTTTTGAGAACAAACAACTCAGGAAACGGGCTGCTTTCAGAGCCAACACACCAAAACTTTCTACCTTCGCGCCGCTGGTCAAAACTAAACCACCCTTCATACCCACGAATACCACTTCGAAAGCTCATATGGAGACGCCCCGTGCAGGACCTCCAATCAATCGAAGGACACAATCCGAGCTCCAAGAACGACGGCAAAAAGGTCTGTGTTTTTATTGTGATGATCCTTATGTGCCAGGTCACAGATGCAAACAGTCGCAGATTTTGATGATCGAAATTGAAGGGGAAGATATGGGCACTGATGACAGGGTACAAGAAGCTAACGGTGCGGCAATGGAGGAGGGGCCTGTCCTTCCAGATGACATTCCGGTGCAACTCCATGCCATTGTTGACAGGCGGCGGAGCAAAGGTCGTGCCATGAAATTAATGGGTCAACTACAAGGGGTCCCTATATTGGTATTTATCGACTCTGGGGCTGATCGGAGTTTTCTTAATCCCAAAATTGCGGAGCAACTCAACCAGCATATTGAGAAGCAGTCTATTGAAACAGTGGTTGTGGCCTCAGGTAAACCCTTGAGTACCAAGGGCGTGGTTCGCGGAGTTACAGTGCAAATGCAAGGGTACCACTTTCAACATGACTATCGGCTTCTTGCTGTAGCTGGGTGTGATTTGGTTTTAGGTGTAGATTGGTTGGAGACATTAGGACTGGTGGGATGGAATTTTCAGCACAAAACGATGGAATTCACTGTGGATGGGGTTAATCACAGAATCGTGGGAACTGCTGGTTCACTCCAATCGACAGCCCAAGTCTGCCCTCTTGCCGTGGAGTTATCTGAAGAAGGGTGGCCCTCAAAAAATACCTCTGTCTCCACACCATTGCCACAACCGCTGCAACAGTTGCTAGATGTATTTGAGGACATTTTTACCGAACCCACGAGTCTTCCTCCCACACGGAGTGTTGATCATCAGATCACACTGATGGCGGGCACCGCTCCGGTTTCTGTCAGACCGTATCGATATGCCCACAGCCAAAAGTCAGAAATAGAGGCTCAAGTTCGAGACATGTTGGCGGCAGGATTGATTCGACACAGTACTAGTCCTTTCTCATCCCCAGTACTGTTAGTTAAAAAAAAAGAAGGCACCTGGAGATTTTGTATAGACTATAGAGCTCTCAATCAAGTGACCATTAAGGACAAGTTCCCCATTCCGGTAATTGACGAACTGCTTGATGAATTACATGGGGCTGCCTATTTTACCAAACTTGACCTGCGATCCGGTTACCATCAGATTCGCATGAAGGAGGGCGACATCCACAAAACGGCTTTTCGTACCCATGAGGGACATTACGAATTTATCGTGATGCCGTTTGGTCTCACCAACGCCCCTTCTACCTTTCAAGCGCTGATGAATGCTGTTTTTCGTTCGTATTTACGAAAATTTGTTCTGGTATTTTTTGATGACATTCTTGTTTACAGCCGTACCCTGTCAGACCATGTTGCTCATCTTGAATTGGTGTTTGAGATACTGCGGGTTAATCACTTAAAGGTGAAACTTTCCAAATGTTCATTTGGTCAGGCTTCAGTTGACTACTTGGGTCACACCATTTCTGCAGCAGGGGTTGGGGTTGATCATAAGAAAATCCAGTGCATCGAGTCATGGCCAAAACCGACAACAATCAAGGGGCTACGAGGCTTTCTCGGCTTGGCAGGATACTACCGCAAGTTTGTAAAGGGATTCGGCCTTATTTCCAAGCCCTTGACTAATATGCTGCGAAAAGATGGGTTTGAATGGTCACCACTTGCAGCACAAGCTTTTTTGGCACTCAAGAAGGCACTAACAACAACCCCTGTTCTTGCCCTGCCAGATTTTAGTAAGGATTTTGTCATCGAATGCGACGCTTCTAATGGTGGAATTGGAGCTATCCTTTCACAAGACCGTCACCCCATTGCATACCTCAGCAAGACTTTATCCGACAAGCACAAGTCCCTGTCTGTCTATGACAAAGAGATGATGGCTCTTGTATATGCCGTTGATCATTGGCGCCCCTATCTCTTGGGTAGAAAGTTTAAAGTTTTGACAGATCATCAGACTATCAAATACTTCTTGGAACAGAGAATCACAACTCCTACTCAGGAAAAATGGCTACTTAAATTGCTGGGTTACAATTATGAAATTGCATACCGCGCAGGGGTGAATAATGCTGGACCTGATGCACTCTCAAGAAAACATGAGTTACTAGCTTTAATGGGGCTCACTACTCCGATTTTTGACTATATTCCTCAAATGGCAGAAGCAT